CTTAGTCAGCGAGTTTTCAAGACATGCGGCCTGGATTATGAGATATATATTATATATATTATGTGAACAATTTGATCCTTGTTCCGGATGTTATCTCGATCAGGTAGTACCCTTGTTACCGGTAGCCGATGATTACCATGCAGAGTCACGCGATGCAGCCCTTTTCTCCATACGCTTGAGCCAATGTATGGCGGTAATTGTCAGATTGTAGATGATACATGTTACACATGCATAACTACCTCGTTCCCTTTAACACCCCCCATGCCTTCGGTGACTTCGCACCGTAGGCACGAGAGTGGGAACTTTGAATTATGCCCTTTGTTGTGCACGAATTACGGCTTAGTACACGCAAGTCCATTCAGCTTCCCCTTCACCCACACCCGACGAGCGTAGTGGATCCGGGGTTGCCTACTCTCTGGCATGCAATGCATCAGCGCAAGATCGAGCTGTACAACGCGAATTATCACTAGCTTGCAGCTACCCTACGATTACGGCTTCGCAAGTCACTCCATCGACGACGGAAGTAGACTGCTCCACCAAGAATAGCAATTGGCGCTAACTAGTGAATTCACGTGCACATTGCTAAAAAAGAAAATCGTGCAGATTGGGAATAGTGATAATCTTGGACCTAAGCGAATTAATCTACTGCCTCGCTCAGAGTCCACTCAGTTGATCTTTTCCTGATCATCTGTTCACAAAAACGATACACATCTTATAGTCCAGTGATCATTTGGATGGACAGAGGTGGTTGGCTTACTCCTCGCGGCGGACTTTCTTCCATTGGGGTGTATTCTGAGATTTCTCCCAACCTGCCGCGCGTTTCGGAGCAGCTTTCGGCGATGGAGGTTTCGCAGGTGGTGCTTTGGATGGTCCATAAGACTTCGGCATAGCCTTGGCCTTTGGTGCACTGGCCGATGAGGATGACGCTGAACCAGTACCTTCAGGTTTCTGTGAAGGCTGTGTTGATGATCTGGCTTTTGCGTCTGCAGTGGCACGCTTGGCGGCGGCACTGTCCCCGACTGCTTTGAATACCTCACTTACCACTTCGTCCCCCAGGTTCGGAGCCATCTTCATTTTCATTTCGGACTTTCCCCTCTGCGCCTCGGCCTCAGCGAGTTGAATGGCGTAAGCCATCTTGCTGATGAAATTGCGAGGTAAAGGAATACCGCATTGTTGGGCAGCAAAGAGTAGTTCCACCCTTTGTTCCTTTTCTCTCAGACTCAGATATACCGAGAAAGCTGGGAGTTCAATGCAGTTGGGGAAGCCGTGGCTCCCGGAACGAAAGAAGGTGTATGATTCATATTCGGGAAAAGTTCCCTTCATCAGTCGTCGGAGAAAGTTGCTAATGGTCACCCTCATCTCTTGCTTTTCCTTTGCATCACCTTGCATCTTCGTCATTGGCATGAGGAAACCTAAGGACTCAGGAGTGTACCCGGCACATACAAGAAACTCCATCATCTTTTCGTAAACCTCTAGAGTTTTGATGACAGGCATCATCATGTTTCTCGGCCGCCCAGAGTACATCTTTTCTCCCTCTGACCATGAGTTCTTCTTCCCTTTCTCTTGAAAGAGTTCGTCCAATTCCTGCTCAGTTGGCCGCTTGAGTTTGCCATCCTGATCTTCGCCTGTGTAAGGGCAGAAGTCGTCCAGGTCCAGCCGGACTCGCTTTGTGGCTGTCATCAATGCATAGTACTCCTCTGGGGTCAGAGTGACTCTCTGGTTGTAGTAGAGTCTGAACATTGCGATGATCTTTGACATCACGGCATTGTCATACAAGTGAGCCGCGGCCTCGGAGACATCATTGTTGACAAGTCCGTCTCCTGGCAAACCCTTGCTTCCACGCGCAAGATTCTTGGTCCATACTGGCAGGTTGGATGAAGGCTCATTCTCAGGTTCGACGTTCATGTCATCATCGTCTTCCTCTTCAACGATCTCGTCGTCTTCCTGCTGAGTCTCTTCCTCCTGAGCCATTTCCTCGTCATCGCCTTCGTTGTAGTCGACCTCGTCAGGATTGAAGCCATAATCGTTGGATTCAGGTACGTTTTCCTGTGCTTGGTGGACCGTATCCTTGAACAACGATTCTTCCTGTCGGCGAACCTCCTCATCGAGCTCTTTCTTTGTGGCTTCATCTTCATCGTCTTCAGGAGCCTGTAGTCTATATGGTCGAATTCCACAGCTCTCAAGCTCTGTCCAGCAACCTAGACATACTGCCAACTTCGTCGGCGTCTCATTGAGGCAATGAGGGCAATGACGGCAACCTGAAGTTTCCACCCTCTTGCGCTCGACGATGTAGTCAATCAGCTTGATGCGGGCGAGGTATTGTTCTTGTCCGCCAGCTTCAATGAGGTTGTTCCTGAATTGGTTGACGATGTTCATCGCATCCATGGTGATCTCGTCATACGGTTGCTTTTCGGCGTCGATGCATTGACTTGCGATCCTCAGAATGGACTCCTTGGTGGCGACAGTTCTTGACTTGACAGTGCCTGACCGGACTACCTGGTCGTCGCCCGACGGAACGAACAACCGGAGCCATGTCTTGTTGTTTTGATCCTTTGGATCTTGAATCCATCCTCCTTTGATCGCTGAGAACGGGATGATCTTTGGCGAAACGATCTGTCCCGAATCGGTCAATCGACCACCGTACTCCACCATCAAGGTCTCGGTCGGGATGAAGAGGCAGATGTAGTCCCCCTTTCGCGTATCAACGCTCTTCGTGATGGTCCATGATCTATGATCCCATGGCACATATGGATTGAAGAACGTGAACATACGATGACCTTCTCCAAGACCTCCCGGAATTAGTCCCTGCCTCCAAATGCTTCGGAGGTTGGTCTTCTTCGTGATGTGGAAGCAAACCGGCAGTGACATGATGGTATTGGGTGCGATCGGATGTGAAAGCAATGATGACAGCAACAAGACGTCATCTCTGGAGGATCCTTCCTTGTGCCCCGCTGGGGCGCGGACTGCAACTGGATAGAGCAATAGCCCCTCATCAGGAATAGGCGTGTCCGCGTTGACATTGTTGTCAATGCATGTCAAGCTTTTGCGATCAATATCCTTGTTGATCCCAAATGCCAAGACTTGTTCACGTACACGACGTCCATATCGGGCACAGTGGAACATGATCTTGAACAGCAATGTCATGCGATAGTTCGCCTCTTTGACATTCCATGCACTTTGATCGCTTGCTCTTCCTTTGGGGGCGAGGAAGACATGCGGCCAACGTTGGTACTCATGTCTCCAGATTGACTCACATTTGAGTACTTCCTCAATGGGTACCCAGCCGGCGTCGTCACAAAACAAGCTTTGTGACTCTGAGGCCTTCCCTACATTGTGTCGCAGGATCCTGTTCAGTGATGTGCTCACCTTGTCCTCATAGCTGTCGAGCCGATTGCCAGTTTCGAAGCGATAGTTTGCCGCATACTCCACACCTCCAAAGTAGAAGCAGTTGAAGAAGTGGGCTCCCGTCGTGGGGATGATTTTCAAGAAACCATCTCGCGGCGCTTCGATCCGTTTGTAGAAGGGTTTTCTGATGTTGTTGTCGGAGTAGTTTGCGATGAACTCTGGTACTGACCAAGTGTCACCTCCTCCTCTGACAATAGCGTCCCGGATCACTTCGTTGAGATCAACGACATTCTGGGGTCCCAGCTTTGTAACATCACGCCCTTCAATGCAGAACCTACCATACTCATCGAGGTCTCCGACTTCGGACATAGTCCTGATGCTGTCGTACCACTGGTATTCACCAAACCTCGGTTTTGTAGGCTCATCCGTTTGCCCTGACCCTTCTGTAGCACCTGATCCGTCCTTTCTGTGCTCAGGCGGTTCCATCTCGACGTCATCAGGTGTAGGACTGTCAGCCTCGAGCGACGCTCGGACGGCCTTTAATACCTTTCTGACTTCATCCTTCTTCTCATTTTCACATTCGAGATGACCATGTTTGGTGCTACCACAGTACAAACACACATTGACATCCTCAGAGACAGTGAAGAGTTTTCCCAACGCATCCAGGAGTTGTTGTTTTCCGGAAATCTCTGAGTCCCTAACCACATCAGTAGGATCGTTTGCTGGCTCATCAGCCTCCTCCTCCCCAGGGTGAGTCGACGACTCGTCACCTGGCTTGGCATCAGCATCAGTGCCCATGTTGGCATCATCCCCTGTGATATGGTGCTTTCTTCGATACTGAGAGAAGACCTGATCTTTCTCCCACTCCGTGAGACAGCTGAAGTTGATCAGCGATTCATACCCGGGGATTGCGTGGATGATCTTCATGACCCTTTCGGCTTCTGCAGTTTGCAGGGTGCAGTCGAAAGATCCCCGTCTCTTGTCATTGATGGTGCTTGTAGTTCTGGAGGTTGATGTGAATTGAGCCAATGCCTTCTCCAAGCCGTTGAGGAATTCAGCAGGATCAACGCTGGCATTGAAGACATTCACAACTCCTTTTGCCATGTTTGCTACATCCAAGACGCCAAGCCAAAACTCGATGATGTCCCCAGTCTTCTCGGCTGATGCACGGGAGAATCCGAAGATTTCGTTCCTTTCCTTCACCTCAGGAACAGCGACCTTCTCGAAGAAGTCCTTGTACGCGACATTCCCGCAGTCTTTCGTGACCCTGTAGACCAGGAGCCACTTCTTCGCGACCTCATCATAGATTCTTTCGCGGTAGATGCTGAATTGTTTGCCGCGTCCATTCCGGAAGATCTCCAGAGCTTGTCTCTTCGATACCCTGACTCCCCCCATGTGCGAAAGAGACTTCATCAAGTGCTCCCCGTACGGCAATAAAGCGTTTGAAATCAAAGAAGATGCCGTGAATGTAAGCCATGTCTGAAATCCTTGATTGATGTCAACCACGTCGACACCAAGATCCTCAAATGCGACCTTCAACCTGGCCGCCAGGAGCAATACGGATTTCCTGGCTTCCAATGTGGGAGCGGAGCGCTTGTAGTGATCTTGGGTGTTTGCAGAGCAGTTGATGCAGTGGGTCGGTTTCACCTGGCATG